CATGAGAGAACAGTTCAGAGTCAAACTGCTACCACAGAGGGGACAGAAGTGTCTATCCTGCCGCGCATTAGGGAGAGTGCTGAAGGGGCCCGAAACCAGCAAGAGCTTCCCAACATGGCTGGCAAGGTGCAGCCTGAGGGCAGCCTCGTGAGAGAGACCCCACTTCCCAGCTGTGCAGGTGAGAGGCCAAGACCCTCACCAAGGACACACGCTGGTGGCAGTGGTGGTACAACCTCCAGTCTCCACTGATACCAGAGCCACCCCTCTGCGTTGCAGCCGCCATGCACCTCCCTAGGCAGATTCTGAGCCTCTCTCTGTCTCTCGGACAAACACGCTCCCCTGCTGCTGAAAGAATCTTCTGAAAAGGAAACTTTCTCTATCATCCCAGATCACTGAGCCCTGGCCAGCACAGAGGCAGCTCACGGGATGTGTGGGGTTGTGGCTGATGCTCCAGCACTGGGCAGTACCACCGGAGCGGCCATTCCCAAACACACAGGAAATGACCTGCTGCCATGGTAACTCCAGCCAGGCACCCACAGGATGGCCACTGTTGGGCAGGGAGGAAGGTGCTGGCACATCAAATGGAAGCTCTGAAGTCCAGTCCAAAGCCCTGTGCCCACCAGCCATGGAGCTCAGCACCTGGTCTCCCAAGGCAGCCCAGTGTGGACACTGAGGGACGACAGGGACACGATGAGCAGGAGGTCCCTCCAGGCCCCATCGTGGGTCCCCAGGATGACAGCTCAGCTCGGGGCTCACAAGGGGCTGCAGCTCTGTCTTCTCCCACCTTTGCTGTCACCCTGCCCAACTCCTCACACACCCCAGGCTCCCAAAGTCGATCCCACCCACCGCCTAGGCACACAGTGGCCGTGCAGTGCACCCCCCAGAACCTGGCCCATCCTCCCTGAGACCAGCGCTGCCAGAGCACCTGGGAGATTGCTGAAGAGGTCGCTCGGGACACTTCCTCTGCTCCCTCCCTGCCATTTCTCTGCAGTCTTGTCTGCCTTGGTTTCCCAAAAGCATCTTTAACCTCCTGAAAAAGAGGGGGACAGAGAAGCTTCAGAGGCACTAAATGCAACATGCGGGGCGGTGGCCTTAGGGAGCGGCAGCTCACTGAGCACTCGGTGCAGCACAGCGCTGGCCAGCAAAAGCCACAGCAGCAGCAGCATTCTCAGGGCCGCACAGGCCCAGCGTGCCGTCACCTGTGACCGTGAGCAGTGCCGTGGGTCACTGTCCAAGCCATGGCTCACAGGACGTGCCAGGCCGTGTGGATTCAGACAGCCCCAATTAGAGCTCTAAAGTACAGCCTTGCAGTCTACAAAGGCTGGATGCTTCGCAGGGCTCCAACCCCTCATTTGTTCTTTGATGCTCTTATCCCAATTAAGACACTCAGAACTTTTGAAGTTTGTGAGGCATTCACTTCAAATACCTTTAAATTAAGGACAGATTCACTTCCCTGGTAGCAAACATCCTGCAACTTAATTAAGAGAGTTCAGTATTTAAGCTGCTACCGCGGCTTCTGGCAGAGAAGGATTCTGCTCACCACCCCAGCTACTCTGCTCCCAGCCTCCTTCTACTCCAGCTCCAGAGTTTAGGAGATATTTCATTGGTCCCAGATTTGCTCCCTTGGTTGGCTGGACCACATGCTGCCCAAGTCAGCTCAGGCATAGAAAATAACACCAGCCTGTCCCCACACCTGCAGACACACCTAGCACACACTGAAGGCTCCCTGGTGACAAGGACACAGCGACTTAGAAATCACCCTTGGGAGTGTGTGAGTGAACTGCAGTGTAAAAATCACCAGGCAGGACTCAAGTGACATCTAAACCATTGCAGCCGTGAGCTGCAGGAGGTCATGGATGCATGACTGATGGAACAGAGGAAACTCTCAAGTGACAACAGGTACCGGGGAGGGGTCACTCCTGGGCGATGCACTGGCCACAAGACCTCAACCCGACAGCTGGGAAAGTGCCAAACTCACCAGGACAGGCAGGGGAGCCCAGGGTCAGAGGCATAGTGCAGGTCTGAGAACCCCTCCCAAGCAGCACCTAGACCCCCAGCACCCACACACCAGGCATGTACTGGGCATATGCAGTAACTGAGACCAGCCAGACTGGCTCCTCACAAGCTCACTTTATGAGTCTCAAGATCAAAGCTCTGGAAACAACTTCGTGTCCTTCCTAGGAGACTCTGTGACTTCATGTTCACAGCATGAGTAGTGAGAAGTCTGCCACAGGACAGGGCTCTCCTCGCTCCACCTCAGGCAAACTCCTGACCCATCTGACATCCCTCTTTTGCCAGCACTCGTGAGAGGCTGGAGCTCCATGCCACTGCAAATCTGTGCCAGGTGATTTTCCACCCCAAGCAGTGCCTGGCTGGTGTCATCTAGCCCTCTGTGTGGAGCACCAAGGTCAGCCACAAGGCCAAAGCATCTCATTAAATGACTGCATAAAGATGGTAGCATCAAATTGGCATGATCTCCACCATCACCACCACCATCATCTTTGTCACCATCTCCATTACCATCACCATCACCCTTACAGAACACAGTACAGGTGCTGTCTAATCTTTCCAACAGTGTCATGTTAAGTACCTCTGTTGTTCCCACTGAGGTACAGAGAAGACAAGCAGGTCACCCCAGTTCACACAGCAAATACAAGGGAAAGCCAGGAATTTGAAGGCAGGTAGTGAGAGTCTTATTAACGATTACCTTGAAATCAGGAGGCGATTTCCCTATTATTTCACCTTCAGTAAGGGGCTGTCTGCAGACCCTAGCAGCTATTCTGTATAACCTTAGCTCCTGAGATTTCAGAGCGTACCAGTCACCACCCTTATGCTCACTGCGCCCAGAGACACTTGTGCTATGGACACACAGGAAATGTAATCTGCCATTTCTAAGCGCTTCTCTACTGAAGCAAAAATAAAACTCACAAACCCCCAAACCTGATTCCTAAGATCTCTTTGGAAGACAGAACTGACTTAACGAATGCTTGTATCACTTCCTAAACTCTACCTCCAGGTCTGAGGAGCCTCTGGCCCTGAGTGGGCAAGCGTGAGTGTGACAAGCCTCTGCCACCCCTTGTGGTGGGACTCATCTGTGACACTGGCCACCCCACGCGGCCACCAGGCACCACACTGGGTGCTCGGCACTGATTCTGAGTCTCCCAGACACCTTCCCAGGGTCTAAATGGAGGTGCTCCTCCTCAGGCCGATGACAGTGGTACCGGCCAGGCAGTGAAAACCCCACTGAGGGACCGTCAGCACATCTTCTCTGCCCACCATCTTGGCCGAAAGCTCACCGGTGCTGCACAGCCCCTAGAGCAGCCCCTGTGGAAGGATCTTCCCTTCTTGCAGGCCGGCATCCTTTTCCGGAATTAACATTTCTCTGCATTCAGAGCAAACACACATATTTTCCCCCTTTTAGATCTGTTTTGCTAAACAAATGAATCTAGCACCAGATTATATTATGAAGAACCATAAATCTTTTCCGAGATAAGCATCTGTCGTGTTGGATTAGCAGCATCCAATGTACTGTGAATTAATTTGTTAAGCTTTATAATGCTGTCCCGGGCATTTAACTTTAGTAATAACAAATGTAATTTGGAATAAATGAGAACTTGTTTTCTCATCCATGTCTGTGTGGTAAGTGACGTATTCAGAGGTGACAGGAAGTGGGAGTGAGACTGAATTCCATCACAATGGCAGCGGTAAGTTTACAGAAGTAAAAAAGAATGTTGTGTGGAGTGCTGCAGGCCCAAGCCCCAAGCACCTGGGGGTCCCGTAGGAGGTCTGAGGGGAGGCAGCCCCCGCAGGTCCCCGGACCTCTCCCAGGAAGCCCAAGCCCCATCCCACTCAGCAGGCCCTGGCCTCGGCCCCACCTTGGCTCTCAGATTCAGCTCTCATGTTTAGGCTGCTCCACAGTGGCAAGGAGCACAGACTGAAATCAGCAGGTTCTCTTGTTCTAAGGGGAAGGAGGGAAGGGAAGGACAAGGGGAGGGGAAGGGAGGGAAGGAGGGAAAAGGGAAGGGATCATGGTCTGAGGATGAACTCCTTGGCCTACCTCACGAAACCCTGTCCAGCCACCACCCACTGCTTGCCCCCACCCAAGTTCAGAAGGTGCCCCAGCTGGGATGCCGTCTCGTGGGACCCTGGGCGCAGACACTGTGGGCCAGCTGCTAGCAAGGGAGCTCTGAGAATCCATCCTCCTTGCCCTGCACTAGACATTCGGAGTGAGCTGTGAGGATGCCACACAGCACCTCCTGCCCTTCCGTGCCAATGTCCTGGAACTGGCATCCTGTTTACAGAGTCCAGAAAGACCACTGTGTGCCTAGGGTGTGCCAGACACGTCCCAGGTCCGCCCATGAACTTCTGAGTCAGCAGAGGTGAAGGAAGGGAAGCTGGGGAAGCTGGGAAAGATGGGACGGGGCTCTGAGCTCTGTGCTCCAGGCTGCTGGACAAGGACACGTGCCGTCCCCGGAGACTCCCAAGGGCTCCTCTTATTGACACAGAGAAGGTGGAAGCACGAGAGGAAAAGGACACAGATGTTTCCAAGTCCCAGTGTTGACAGTGCACACATAGTTGGCGCCACCACGGCCGAGCCAGAGCCCAGCCTGGGACAGCTCTGAGCCCGATCTGCACAGATGCAGGTGTCAGCCCAGAAGTCCCTCCTCCGGCCTGGCCCCAGTCTTCCTGCAGGTAGGGCCTCTCTCAGCCAGGAACAAGCCCCATTGCACAGTCACCCAGCCCTTAAAGCCCCAGCCTGAAGGCTCTGAAGACCCATGTGGCCCTTCAACCCCTCCAGAGACATCAGAGGCCGGGAGGACACGGCACCCACTCCAGGGCACACAAGGATGGCAACAAGGCTTCTTGCCTCTGCCTGAATTTGCCCGCAGACACAGGATGCCCATCCATCCTGGAGCCACACCCAGCCCGCCCAGCCTGCACCCGAAGCCCGCACGAGCCTGGCAGGACCCTCGACCGCAGGCTGTGGAGCAGCTGCCTACCTGAGGTCTCGCCCAGAATCCGTGGGGGGTTGGTGTTTTTCCCGGTGCTGCTGGGGCTGGGGGAAGGCTCCAGTGTGCTGATCCCGACGGCAACCTTTCTCCAGGGCTCCAGGGATGCAGTGAGGCCACGGGTCTGCAGCGTGACAGAGGTGGCCGTGGTGGTCGTGGTCGTGGCCACCGTCGTCTTCCGCGTCTGCAGAACGGAGACCGTGGTGGGGCCGTACACACCCGGGAAGGTGTTGGCCTCAGGGGCCTCCTCGTCCCCCGTGGGCCCCCAGGCGATGAACTCTGTCTCTGTGGTGGGCCGGCTGCCCCGGAAGTCGAAACTGTGGAATGCGGGGTCCTGTGTGTGCCTCCGGCCCCGCCTCAGCTGACTGTGCTGCTCCACCGCCCCGCCGGCCGCCACCGCCGAAGACGAGGACGAGGA